AGGTACTACTCAAATACCCCTCCCCTCTCTTGAAGCTTATCCAATATACCTTGCTATTTTCTATTCTTTGGATAAAATGGACAAGCAGCACTGGACTGGGAAATTCCTGTACCACTGGGGACAGGTACTCAGCCAGAAATCAAGGCTGCTACCCATCCAGGGGTAAAATTTATCTTATTGAGTCACACACCCTCAGGCTTAGGCTCTTCCTCCTAGCCCTCTACTCCTTCACACTTAGCTTCCTGGTGGGCCAACTTCAAAAGGAGGGCTGGAAACAGCATGAGTAAAGATCTAGCCCATGGCATAGTGACTCAAGCACTTTTGCTAAAAAACTACGAGATGTAGGTTCAACCCCTGCTGAGGGTACTAGACTATTTGGCTACAAGTTGAAAAGACCCACTCTGATTATTTTCCTGTGATATCTAGCACAGGCTAGTTGCAGTCTTTACTTGAAAAATATTTCAGGACTTGACTGGTCCTTTGTGAGTACCTGCATAATTCTGTTTAGTCTGGCTGGAGTGCAGTCCTGTTGACTACGCTTAATGGACTAGAAGAACACTGCTAAATTCTAAAACCAAATCAGTTCCAAAAATTTTAGGTATGTGGCTAGGTGTCTACATTTAGACCAGGGTGCCAGGGCAGTTGAGAGATAAGCAGGTGTGAGAAGATAACAGGCTCAGGTTGGTCTTTGTCTGGCCACTAATCTGCCCCCACTGCCTGGCTCCTCTGCAAAGAGGTAAGCACTCAGATTCATTTTTGAAATAGCTCACTGCTTAATTCCCAAACGTTATGGAGGAGTGTCTTGAATCCAATGACTGGTGCCTTGAGCCTAAAAAGTTTGAGAACAATTGATTTAGATGCTGAAGTGAAATTGGATTTAACTCTTTATTTTACAGTCAGTATTTTTAAGAAATGCTTGTGTTAATTATAGGCTCTTTGGGTAGATGTGATAGCTTTTATTAGACCAACTGGGTCTTTGGAAATAGGTTCTTTGCAAGCTTTTGGGCACAATCGCCCTTCTTCAGGTATAGGAAGTCTCTGCTGTTCTGAGACTCTAAGGAAGGAAAGAAGCTAAAAGTGTGCAGGATGTCAGTGAGAATGTAAACAGGTGGAAATTAGGAAAACAAAAGGTAGAGCAAGGAAGGGGGGGTGGGGAATGAAAGGGGAAAAAGCCAAAGGTGAGTAAGGGAGGCTGTACATTAGTAGATTTTCTAGGTAGAAAAGAGGCTGTCTGTGAAAAAGTAGCTGCAAATTAGGAAGACAAAGGGCAGAAAAAGGAGCTGGGGGGGGGAGGCAGAGAAAAGTGTAAGAGGTCAGGTCTGGCAGGCACCTGGTACATCAGATGTTAGGCAGGTTGTAATGTGTCATAAATCCAAAGTCTACATTGAGTCCATGATTTTTTGTATCCAGTAGATTTATGACGGGAAGTTCGTAGGCTCAACTACGAAAGGTGTTTTGTAAGTTCCCTTTGAGGATTAGAACTGAGACACCGGAGAGGGAATGATTGTCTTGTGAGAAGTGTGTCCCCACAGGTAAATGGGTGTTCTTGTCTTTGATAGATTTATGGTGCGCATTCATTTTGGTGCACAATTATTGTTTGATTTCTCCTACATATTTTCTATCAGGGCATTTGGTTCACTGGATGAGATATATAACATTTCTGGAGGTGCAGTTGTAAGATCCAAGAATTATGATGGTTTTGTTGTGAGGTGTAGTTATTGTGGGAGTGGTGATGTGTTGACAGGTTTTGCATTTCTTGTCCTGGCATGTTCTGGATCCATTAGGTGTGGTTTGGGTTATAGGGAGTTTGCTTCTGGTGATGAGCAGGGATCTCAGTTTTCTATTTCCCATGGAAAAATTGAGTAAACCACAGATTTTACCTTTTACCAGAGGCAAACACAGATTTCTTGTTTTACCAGAGAAACCCACAGATTATGCAATTTTGCAATGATCTCCCTACAGGCTGGCAGAGCAGGAGGAAGGCAGTGAGACAGGGGGTGCCATGTGCATGTACACGGCGCTAGGGAGCCTGCAGAGAAGCTCCAGCAGGTAATGGGTGGGGGAAGGGAGACGGGGATAGAGGCCCCTGTAGAGAGGGAGGGAGATGGGCAGGGCTGGGGCTGCTACCCAGCCAGGTGGTGCTTGGAGTTGCAATGCATGGATGCAAAGCCCTAGCAGGGAGCAGCACAGGGCCATGGGTGGCTCATCCAGGGGAGAGGGAGGGCCGACTCCCCACTGCCGCGTGCACTCTAGGTGGGCAGGGGGTACCTGCACCCCCCAGATCTATACATGGGGCAGGCGCAGGCTGCAAGCTCAGGCTCCTGCCCTGCTTCCCTTCCCCAGGGCCTCCGCAACCAAGCCAGCACAACCTGGCACAGCAGGGAACAGCAGAGCCATGCAGGGATCTCCTTGCTACTGCAAGGTCTGCGCTGCCCTTGCAATGCACAACCCTGTGCTGCTGCTCTCACTGCAGCCCAGCATGCAGGAGCTCATCACCAGGGCAGTACAGAGCTCGCAGTGGCGAGCAGCTTCTCTGCACAGCTCCACTGTTCCCTGGCACGCCGAGTCGTGCCCGCTGGGCCGTGAAGGCCCTGGGGGAGGAAAGCAGGGCAGCAGGGAACAGTGGGCCCATGTGGAGAAGTTGCTCACTGCTGCGAGCTCCACACTGCTTCCCTCTCCTGGGGCCTCCACAGCCCAGCAGGCATGACCTGGCGCAGCAGGGAGCAGCGGAGCTGCATGGAAAACCTGTTCACCTCTGCAAGCTCCATGCTGCCCTGATGACGCACCTCCTGCACACAAGGCTGCAGTAAGAGCAGCAGTGCAGGGCCACGCCCCTCAAAGCAGCGGCATGCACAGGAGGCGTGTTACCAGGGCAGTGCAGAGCTTGCAGTGGCGAGGAGATCCTTGCGCGGCCCTGCTGTTCGCTGCCAGGCTGGCTCGTGCCTGCTGGGCTGTGGAGGCCCTGGGAGAGCCTGCGCCTGCCCTGCATACAGATCTGGGGGGCGCGGGTCCCTCCTGCCCCCCTAAGAGCGTGCACTGTGGCAGGGAGCTGCTCCACCAAAGCCTGCAGCAGTGGGGGAGCGGGGCCAGGGGGCTGCGGACCTGGGTCTGAAGGCCTGGCAGCTGGGCCCCCTCCAGCAGGGCTGGGGGAGAAGGGGCTGTGGGTGGTGGGCAAGGGGCACCAGCAAGGCTGTGGGGAATATGGGGGGGAGTAAGAGGTATGAGCACAGCTGGGGGGGGGGGCGTGGGGGACCTTTAATTTTAATCACAGATTTTGGGGGGGTTGTTAGAGAATTTGTGGGTTTTTTAGTGGAGAATGCATCTTTTTTTATCAGGGAAAACAAGGATCCCTGGTGATGAGGTTAGTGAGGTTTGGTGCTTGTTTGAAAGCTAGGATGGGTAGTTCTGCAAAGATCTCTGTAAGAATTGGGTATTCTTCTAGTATGGGTTGCAATTGTTTGAGGATTTTCCGTGTAGGTTCTAGGGAAGGGTCATACTTAATAGTGTGCGATTTGTGGGGATTTTCTTTTTGTACTGCAGCAAATTTTCACGTGATATCCGGGTGGCTCTTTCAAAAGTGCAATCTCGCTCTCTCTCAGTTCTTGTTGCAGTGGTGACTTGGGGGTTGATGTATAGGGGATGCACGGGGGTGCATGTGCACCCCCTGAGAGCACTGGTGCACTCCCTGGCAGCCAGCGTTCCCCGCTTAGGCGGGAGGCAGGGGGGGCAGGCGGGAGTGCTAGTGCCCCTGCTGAGGGTTCTGGCCAGGGAGTGGGGGTACCAGGAGAAGTGTCCCTGGCACTTCTGGATCAGCATGATTGGTTGTGGGGACACTCCCACCCCCCTGGTCAGTGCAGTCAGCTGCAGGGGGAACCCCCCCCCCCGCTCACCTGGCTGGAGGGGGCCCCCCCCCCCCCGTGTCACTGGCTGGCCAATGGGGGGGCAAGTGCCCCCCTCCAACTCAGGACTTGCCCATGTCTTGTTGGGTGAAGGCCCTTTTGAGATGTGCGAGGCGGCGCTCATGGGTATTCTCCTGGGTGCAAACTTGGTGGTATCAGACAGTCCGGCTGTCAATTATAGCTTTCTTGGTGCTCATGATAAAACTCTTGAAAATGCATCAACCATTCAATGAACCGGGGTCACAACTTCAGCAAGCCCTGCGGAAAACGAAGCATGGAAATGATGCCGCCCAGCGCCATCGTCACTCACACAACTAACCGCCGGATTCAAACGCTCGTGCTTTGTGACAAGCTACCCCCAGCCTCGCATGAAGAAAAGGCAGGGTGGAGGCAAAGGGAAGACACCGTCCTGTGATGCACGGCTCCCCTCCCAAGCCAAGCCGCACCTGAAGCTTCTTGAGACAGGCCTGCACATACCCACCTCGGTTTGGACCGCCTTCCCCCTCAGCCGCGGCAGGCGGCCCCCG